AAAAAAAAAAAACTGCCAACCAACAGCTCCCATGTGTTCACTTTTAAAAGTTTTTAAACCAACTTACTGTTCCAGAGTCAAAGCATGCACATGTGAAAAATAGAAACATACAAAATCAAAACAGTCCAGCTTTTATCTCCCCAAAGAAATTAAACCACGCAATACATAAGAATGTCACAAGCAGAGCAGAGCTATTGAATAAACTGGTTGCAGAACAGATGCCTCAAGCAAGTGAGCCAAGTCTAATGCCAAAAGGGAATTCACAGTTCCCTCACACATATATATTTCCCAGAGTTAATAGCCAATCTGACTCTGAGTGGGTGGAATGGTTCTTAAACTGAAATATATCAGTATGCTAAACTCCCAGGTGTGAAGCAATAGTGCTTCGAAAATGAAAACACTAATCAAGCATGCAATGTTGACAATGATAGTAGATGGAGGAACAATTAATCTGCTGGCTACATGGAGAAAATGAACAGGAAGATAAACAGTGTTCAGGTTTTATAGACAATAAGTCTGGCTCCTCCATTAGAAAGGATAAAGGGACTGACTGAAGAATTGTTACAAATGCCCATACGTTAAAGGAACTCAATTTTCTTGGAATATTTTTTAAAATTATCTAAAGCACATCAAATTGACTTAATGTGCATCCTATCCATAACTTGAAAATAAACACTGACAGATTCTCTGTTTGCAAAAAAATCAAATGTATTGATTTTGCTTGTTTACCTACAGTTAAGGTTTCTAGAGAGTTCAGTAATCTTATACAAGTACTAATATAATCTTGGCCATTTTTCATTGCATTCATTTATATAAACTGTTACAGAAAGAGATTTGTTTGTTTGTTTGTTTAAAAATAAGTTATGACTAGCAAGAAGAAACTGACTACATTATTACTTATAATATAACTGGACAGGTATCTGATTCAAGGTCATATTATTACATCCTGCAGAAACTGGGAGAATTTAATACTCATAGAAGAAATTGGTTGTGTAAAAGGAATGCTTCATTAAAGGAAACTTAAAACACATCACTCTCCAGATTGTAACAGAACAATAAACTCTAAGGTGGATAGTAATGGGCAAAATGCCTTGTCAGGAGCTAACATGAGGAAAAGTGCTAGTCCTGAATCCAGCATGTCATTCATTTGTTGGTTATGTAAATACCTATACAAATGTAAGTACAGCTTGGAAATTTTAGATATCACACTTTCATCCTTCATTTTCTACCTGTAATATTAATTAAAGAGTAAAGGTATTCCCCGTTGACAAGGTTGTCAAGTCGTGTCTGACCATAGGGAGCGGTGCTCATCTCCATTCCTAAGCCAGAGCCAGCTTTGTCAGAGACTATTCTGTGATCCCGTGGCCAGCATGATTGCACAGAATGCTGTTTACCTTCCCACCAAAGTGGTACCTATTTATCTACTTGCATTTGCATGCTTTTGAACTGCTAGGTTGGCAGAAGCAGGGACTAGTGATGGGTGCTCACTCCATCATACGGCACCCAGGCCTTGAACTGCCAACCTGCCGATCTTGCAACCAACAGAGTCAGTGTCTTAACCACTTGAGCCACTGCAACCCTATATCAATAGCTACCCAGTATTGTCACAAGAGTGAGATTTGTTGCCCAGTAGAGGGTCCAAATTAGCAGAGGTAATACAAGCAAGGTGTAGGGGAAAAGCTAAGTTTATGTCTGCAGCAGAAATAAAGGTCCACACACTATAAATCCAGATTGAGACAACTGAATGGATTTCAGAGCCCAGTTTATATGCCTATTTACAACTTGTAACAATTAGATAAACATTAACATCTTAGATCAGAGTACATCCTCTGCCATTCATCAGCACTTTTGTTTGTTCTAATCTGTTTATTAAAGCAAATTGTATGTGAATATTCAGTTAACAGTCAACAGGAAGTTTGGGTATTTACAAGGAGTCTGTCACTTAACCAAGGAATTTCTTGATTAACACTTGTAAATCAGGAGTCTCTTCTTAACTGTATGTTAAACACAGGACAAAGGTGTATGAGGAACAAAGGATCCCCAATTCTCTCCCACTTCCAAATAATGGAGATTTTAGGTCTCATGAGTCCAGTTCAGGAACAGAGAATTTATAAAGAGTGCGGGTTTCCATTTTTATAATTTTCATCACAGTACTATTTAAAATCAGCTCTGAATATTACTTCCCCAAGAAAACGCTATGAAATTCATGGGGTCGCCATAAATTGACAAGACAACTTGAAAGCACACACACACACACACACACACTTAAAACTATTCAGTACTAATAGCTTTTTAATGAAGAAGATAATGGACTTTGCATTTCAAGGCACAGGAAAATATAAAATTAACAGATAAAACAGATAAATAAGACTTCTGATTATTTAGAGGCCAAAACAGCCCTTAACAGTTGTGGGATGCCCACCCATTATAAAAGAAATACAGGATTCTGCCATGTATTTTTCAACATACTGATCAGAAAGGACCAGGTGGCTGGATGAGGCCAAGAATTGATCAGATCTAGTGTTCCCTCTTCCAACAGTTTGGGCTGGCCCTGCTGCTAGGCAGAGCAAAGCAGCCACTTCAGGCAGCAAACTTTAAGTGCACTCTGCCTTAAGATATCCACCTTGACTTGGGTGCATGCAGAGGGTCCATTTTCTGTTCCTCTTTAGAGAGAAGAATGTACTGAGCCAGTACTATTAACAATGTCCTGTGGAGTTTCAAAAGTTACTTTTTTGGGACTATAACTCCCAGAAATTCCCAGCCAATGATCCTAATGAGCAGGAGATTTTAGTCCCAAAACATAATTTTAAAAAGCTCTAGATTAGCCGGATGCTCCATCTGCAAGATTTACAGACAAAGACAACAGACCTCCTTCTTTGTTTGTTCACAGCAACTGGTGTTTATAGAAACACTGCTTCGGCCTTTGCTGGATTTATTGTCTACTTTAAAAAAAAAAAACTAGGGAGGGAATCAGTATGATATAATTGCATGTGTCACATTTCACCTGGAATATTGTACCCTGTTCTGCACATCACAGTTGAAGAAGAATGCTGGAACATAACCAGAAGAAGCAACCAAGATGTTTAAAAATCTGGAAACCAAACCTTATGAAGAACAACTGAGGCAGCAGGATATTTTTAGCTTGAAGAAGAGAAGAAAGACTAAGAAGTGACATGATAACTTGGCTGGATTGAATCAAGGCAGTGGGCCTGAATCTGCAGGATCTAAGGAAACAATGGAAGATAGAGGGGCTTGGACATGTCTCATCCACAGGGGTTGCCATGAGTTGAGATCCACTCGAGGGCAGTTAACAGCAACAGGTTCAACTAGGGTCACCATAAATCAAGAATGACTTGAAGGCACACAACAGCAATAAAGTTCTTAATTCCTAAAAC